GCGGCTCGCTATTTACAATCACTTGTAACCAGATTTTATGTACTTGATTCAATAACTCATAGGTCGTTTCCCGTGAGGGTCTGAGCTAGAGCTTGCACCTGCACTTCTAGTGGCGTGAGTTCGAGTCGGAGTCCTAGATGACGCTGGAGTATTTCTACCCGTTCCTGAGTTGGTTCCTGTGTTTGTGTTCAAGTTCGAACCGAACGAATCTGTTCTCGAACCAGTGGTGGACAATGTTCCAACCGATGACGCTCCTGAAGGACGATGTGATCGACGACGGTATCTAGATCCCGGGACACCAGGACGGTCTGGTTCTTCTAGATTTCCTGGTTTTCTCGAGAGAAGCAGGGACACTCGTCTCATTGGTGGTCTCTCGTGCGGATCACCTTGCACACAGAGCAGGCCGATCTGAACGCAGAGTTTGACTTGGTCCGGATCAGCCGATGCTGCTATCTCTGGGTCTATTATCTCCATGGTCTTGCCTTTCTTGTACAATTTATATGCCTGTGTCACACAATCAGGAAGTCTTTAGCAACCATTACATTACGCTGAAAGAAATCCGGGTTGCTTAGGATGACACGAAATCCCATTTTAACCGCGGTCCAAAGTCAGAGTCCAGCTCAAAACCGGACCGGGTCAGGCCAGCACAACAACTCTAGAAACAACAATGGAACAAAGATTAGAGGCTTACCCATTCAAGAAGAGTCAGGTCGGGGTGTCTCATACTAAAACTCGAGTTCTTCTGGCCACTAATGAGCTCCAGAACCACAACCCCAAAGCTGAATACGTCTGCTTTTACCGATAGAGCACCGTGCATTACGTACTCCGGCGCCATATAACCACTGCGCATACAGAAAAAAAGCAGCGAACATTAATCAACATTCTACCGTGAAACATTGACAAACAAAAAGACATTACTACCAAAGAATATATACATATCTGCAATTGAGCTTTTCAAAGGACTAGTGATAGAGAACATACTTGGTTCCTGCGACACGAGTGTTGACGTGAGTTACGTCTTCTTGGTAGAGTCTGGCCATCCCAAAATCCGCAATCTTAGGAACCCATTTTTCATCAAGTAAAATGTTGCCAGCCTTAATGTCCCTATGGATGATGCAGTTCGGCGCGTCTTCATGGAGATAAAGCAGTCCTCGAGCAATGCCTGTTATGATCTCAAGCCTCTGCTTCCAGTCTATCTCTGATCTCTTATTAGATTCTGCATCCAAATGAAACAACCACTACATGTTAACAAAACCAATCTTGAAACTAGTACATAATTTTAAGGTAACAATGAGAAGGAAACTTACTGAAGAGGACCTTGTCGAGGCTCTCATTGGCGACGTACTCATAGACCAAGAGTTTATCATCTCCATGAGTACAATAACCCCATAGATTAACGACATTACGATGCTGGACTTTAGCTAACAACTTAGCCTCGTTTACAAACTCGTTTTTCCCTTGCCTTGAACCCTGAGCTAGCTTCTTCACTGCTATGTCTCTCCCGTCAGGTAATCTTCCCTATTACACATCAATTAAACCTCGTTTAGCCCCAAAACTAACAAGCACACACACAAAACCCCTTCATGCTAAAACCCACACAAGTAAAGAGACAATCTGCAATCAAACAAGGCCTTACCTTGTAGACGGGTCCGAATCCACCTTCGCCGAGTTTATGGGTTTGGTGGAAATCTTTAGTAGCGGAAACTAAAACTTGAAATGGGAAAACTTTCTGCTCCAGAGCAGCGATTCGTTCGATATCGTCTTCAAGACCTTAAGAGTCAAAGAAGAAGAGGTTAGTCAAATTGCAAAACCCTAAGACCCATACCAAAAAAAGAGCTTGAATTTGAGTCGGATCTACCTCGATTGGAGCTGCGTTTGAAGGGTTTAATGATATTCTGAAAGAAACTCATGCCCAGATTACTCTTTTGAGAATTTGTAGTGACCATCCCATGGAAAGCAACAGAACAAAACCCCCAGAAAGTAGAATCGAATCGAATTTTTGTGATTCGGCGGCGTTAAAATCCAAATCGAATTTCGCAGATTGTGTGTGATTCTGTGGGTGATTGAGAATCGGAGAAGAAGACAAAGGTACAAAAGAAGAAGAAGCGTGTTTGTGAATCTCTCTCTTTGAAGGAGAGATGATGATGCGAGGAAGGTCGATAGAGAAGAAAGTCAAGAAGAATTCGTGTTTTAATAAAACTCGGGAAAAATAAAAGTCAAGTCTTCCTTTCCACTTTTTTCAACTAAACTTGTATTTCTTTTATTATTTTAATGGGGTTTTTGATGCATGGGTGTATCAGGAAAAAAAAAGAAAGTAATGATGATTTTTATTGTTGATGATGTTTTTTTAACAAAAGGTTCTAGATTCACGACCAAACAAAAAAAAACTGATTTCTTGGAAATCTTTTAGCCTAGTGATTGACTAAGCATTTTTAA